TCAACACTTATTTCGAAATTTGTTCTTCATACAAATTTTGCTTCACTTTGTGCTATTTATTTGAACTCTTCGTTTATTTGTGTTTATTAGTACTAGTAGCTAACTGGAATGAAATATTATCAATTTAACTCGTATGTTCAATAATTTAAGATGAAGCACTCTAATGATGAAACGCAGTACACAAATTTCATGACGTCCAAACTTATGAACCGTTTTATGTATTTGTCCGCGCGCTACAGTACTACCTATATCGCGTAACTGCAGTACCGTACGTACACATTATACAGTAGCACAGTATACAGTACAGTAGCAACTACAGTATTCAGTATCACATAGTCGTCATCATTCCCTGCTAGAAATATACATTAAACAAAATAATGCGTGATATTTCGCCCGTGGCTCACTTAGATCACGTCAGGGTAAATACTCAACAATTTCAAATTTATTCGCTCTATCCTCTATCTCGAACAACGGATGTTGCCTTGCTGCTTATCTAAGCCTCCTAACTTGCTGCTGTAAAAACAGTGCACTCATATAATGCCTTCAGTTGACTGAAGCTTCGTGTTATACCGCAAACTTTCGTGTACAAAACTTCATAAATTCATTTCAGTACGAGTGTCTTTTTATCGTTGGGTATGCCAGTATTTATGTCTGAATTGTGATGAATTTATGTGAATAACAGTGCCTGTGAAGGCAACATCTTGGCAATAATATTCAGCTCTGAACTGTGGTGAACTGATTTGAATAATATTTTCAGTACATTTAATATTTATGAAAACGATGTTCATTTCTGAATTTCAATAAACTGATGTGAATAACAGTTGCGATAAACTAATCTTTATCTAGAAGACTAGAACGATGTTCATTTCTGAACTTTAATACACTGATGTGAATAACAGTTGCGATAAATGAATCGTTTTCTAAAACGATGTTCATTTCTAAATTGTAATAAACTGTTGTGAATAACATTTGCCATAAATTTATCGTTTTCCGAAACGAAGTTTATTTTCGAACTGTAATAAAACTAGATATATCCCGCCGTGGGACACTTTGATAGCGATACGGCATTAATTTTAGTAAATTTTAGAACATTTTCTGACGTCTTGTAAATGTGTTCTTAGTACCGGTAACCAAATTATTAAAGCTATTCACCGCAATCATAACTTCTTTACGTTACTACTATGGACGAGTATCTGCTATACACCGATACAGTGCCTGTTATGGTACAGGCTATTCAGTAAGTACAGGTACCTATAAATCACAGGTATAAATTAAAATAGAAATTGTTATTTAAAAGACTTTTAAATAGCTATGTCTATTCAAAAGTTGTAATTACAAATTTAAATTGTGATTGAGAATGAAACTTGCAAAAGTACATTTCGATTGGGCTAATAATTTTAGGTTGCACTACGGAAATATGGTAACTTTACGATGTTTAAATGCCAACACTAGATTTAAGTTGCGTACGTTGCAATAAAGTTGCAATAAAAGTAGCCTAAGTTGCGTGCAACGTAGACTACTTTTATTGAAGGTTTTTATGTTCTCTCGCATCGAGCGGCTTGAATAATAAAAAAATGACACCGAAAATTTCTTACGATTTATGGAAGGTTTTATTTATGATTGTTAATAATTATTTGTATTAGTGTGAATTATACTTGTAATAAACTTTAAATAAGGCAACTACCACGTCACTGGTACGCGGTGCCACGTCACTGGTACGCAGTGCCACGTCACTGGTGCGCAGTGCCACGTCACTGGTACGCAGTGCCACGTCACTGGTACGCAGTGCCACGTCACTGGTACGCAGTGCCACGTCACTGGTACACAGTGCCACTAGTGGCAGTGTCAAGTGACCGCACCAACGCCCCCTGTGCTGTGGTGTCCGCTCAGTCGCGTCGGTGCTTCGTAGGCTTAGGTTCTTCAGTTATTCCTCTGCTAATTATTCCTTTCTTCAATTATTCCTCAGCGGCGCTTATTATTCCTCTGCTAATTATTCCTTTCTTCAATTATTTCTCTGCTTAGTATTCCTCTGCTAATTATTCCTTCCTTCAATTATTTCTCTGCTTATTATTCTTCTGCTAATTATTCCTCTTGCTAATTATTCCTTTCTGCAATTATTCCTCTGATAATTATTTCTTTCTTTGATCATTCCTCTGCTAATTACCTATTCTTTTCTTCAGTTATTCCTTTGATAATTGTTCATTTCTTTCATTGCTCCTCTGCTTATTATTCCTCTTCATATTATTCCTCTCCTAGTTATTCCATTCTTCAATTATTCCACCACCAACTATTCCTTTCTTCAATTATTCTTCTGCTAATTATTCCTTTCTTTAATTATTCCTCTGTTAATTATTCCTTTCTTCAATCATTTCTCTGCTAGTTATTCCTTTCTATAATAATTACTCTGCTAATTATTCCTTTCTTCACTTATTCCGTTCAAACTCCCACTCTGCTATTCTTTTATTAGTGTTTCCTTACACTCTCATGCATCTGAATTTTTCTTATACCACATATATTTTGTAATCTTTTTGTGCACTTGAACTCTCACACAATTACCAAGAAGTTTGCCCTCAAACATTGTTCGAAAAAAAAACAGTGAAAAAACGGTCGTATCTGCGCTCTAGTAACCGGCAGCCCGTGAAAATGAACGGTTTTGCCTTTTTTAAGATGTTACACGGGTTCCTATAGTTTAAAATTGGAATAAAAACGGCAACACGGTGTTCATTTTCACGTGCTGGCCGGTTACTGAAACGCCGGTCATACCGTTAAACGGGGATTTTTCGAACAGTGCATGCCATGCTATATAACCTCTACAAAAGACTTAACATATCTGTCATGTGTTAGAACTCTGGCCTCCGCAAGTTGAATATTTTATTGAAATTTATTGTTTTCTAATTATTTAAAATTTGGTTCATTATTCGTTTAGCGAATGTATTCGCTCTAATCTATACATTCGTTTGTCCGTATTTGCATTGCCGTATCTGTTCGTCCGTATTGGCTTTACCGTATCTGTTCGTCCGTATTCGCGTTGCCGTATCTGTTCATCCGTATATTCGTTACCGTGTCTGTTCGTCCGTATTTGCGTTGCCGTATTTGTACGTCCGTATTTGCGTTACCGTATCTGTTCGTCCGTATTTGCGTTACCGTATCTGTTGGTCCGTATTTGCGTTACCGTATCTGTTCGTCCGTATTCGCGTTGCCGTATCTTTATTCCGTATTTTAGGTGCATTATTGCACAGCTATGCAGACGCTCGGCAGCTTCGAAGAAGAGTTCTCCAAGTCGCCGCTGTACGGCCAACTTGTGTGCGTTATTTCTACGCATGCCAACCTTGAGCTTTAAGATATATCTGTTATAAAACTATAATATAATCACTGGGAAACTTATTTATAACAGTTATATCCAGGGCAACCTAAGGGAACCTATTTTATTGAGAATTGGTTGCTAGAAAAAATGGCTTTAAAACTTTTGAGCATATTACAATAATTATAACAGTTGGGGAACAGTTATTGCAGTTGGGGAACAGTTGTTTCAGTTTATGATGTAGTCATTATGGAGTGGATCCGTCATAACAATTTTTGATGTAATGGTTACAGTTGTGGAGCAGTTATTACAGTTGTGGAACAGTTATTGCAGTTGTGGAACAGGTATTTCAGTTGTGGAACAGTTGTTTCAGTTGGGGAACAGTTATTTCAGTTGTGGAACAGTTGTTTCAGTTGGGGAACAGTTATTTCAGATGTGGAACAGTTATTGCAGTTGTGGAACAGTTGTTTCAGTTGTGGAACAGTTGTTTCAGTTGTGGAACAGTTATTTCAGTTGTGAAACAGTTATTACAGTTGTGGAACAGTTATTACAGTTGTAGAACAGTTATTACAGTTGTGGAACAGTTATTACAGTTATGGAACAGTTACTACAGTTGTAGAACAGTTATTACAGTTGTGGAACAGTTATTGATGTTTTTGATACAGTTGTTACTGTTGTGGAACAGTTACTGGAATTTTTGGTATAGTTTTTATGTTCATTCTGTGCAGTTTCTCAGAAAATAGACTTTTTCATGTTTCAAGCTCATTGTATTAGTAGATTGTAGAACCATGCTGTGTACGTTGCAAATAATTACCATACTATCAGTTTTATAAAAAGCTGATATTAACCTTTCTTACCTGGTATGGCTAATAAAAACACAGATAATATAATATTTCTATTGCACATAATTATTTCCGATAGCAACGCAGAACTTCTGTCTTTTTCAACGACAAATTAATCGAAAATAATGAAAATTTAAATCACGATCAACTAGTTGAAATCATTGCACGCAGTGATGCCCAATTACGAATAGGTACCTAATTTCAACGATCAAGATGTCTTGTAAACTGATTTCTGCAAAAAAATAATTTAATGCATGCATGTTTCGTTGAAGATGAGAGAATATTTCTTACTGGCAATTTCTCGTTGTTGTTTTTCTATTCCTTTGCATAGTTGTTTTCCTTTTCTCTATTGTTATTTTCTCTATTTTTTAAAAAATAATTACAAACATTCCCGATTACGATGACTTATTAAATACCTAATTAAATTCACTGTAAACCATTCCTGCCTTACAGAACGATATTCCGATTACGATGACTAATTAAATAATCAAATAATTGAATCACTGTAAACCATTTCTACCCTACAGCACGATCTACGACAGCAAAGAACACAGCAAATCGAACAAGATTCCTTGTAAACTGATTTCTGAACAAAAAAACTACCTTATAAACATTTCCGATTACGATGACTAATTGAATAATCAAAAAAATAAATTCTAACAAATCAAATAAATAATTAACAAATAACCATTCCTACAGAACGATCTACGACAGCGAGGAACACAGCAAATTCCTCTAGAAGCTCTATTTCCCCCCCAAAAAAAAAACAATTATAAACATTTCCGATTACGATGCCTTATTAAATAGGTACCGTAATCAAATAAATAAATTAACTGTAAACGATTCCTGTCCTACAGAACGATTTATGACAGCGAGGAACACAGCAAATTCCTGGAGAAACTCTCGGCGAGAATCACGAGCCATGACCGCGACATCGAGAAGATGTGCAACCATCATCACCACGGCTTCATTGACAGCATACACGACCTGCTTACTGTCAGGGAACAGGCAGCCAAACTTAGGGTGAGTGCTTAGTGTCAGGGAACTTAGTGTCAGGGAACAGGCAGCCAAACTTAGGGTGAGTGCTTAGTGTCAGGGAACAGGCAGCCAAACTTAGGGTGAGTGCTTAGTGTCAGGGAACAGGCAGCCAAACTTAGGGTGAGTGCTTAGTGTCATTACTGTCTGTTTTCTGTCGTTACTGTCTGTTTTATTGTCATTACTGTCTGTCTTACTGTCTTTACTGTGTGTTTTATTGTCGTTACTGTCTGTTTGACTGTTTTTACTGTCTGTTTAATGTCATTTCTGCCTTCTATATCACGTAATTTCTCGACCACCCGCCTCGACCACCTGTCTTTTATACCACCTGTCTACTACAGACGGAGGTGACGCGTGTGGACCAGGAGGTGCAGGAGTCGCTGCAGAAGGTGGTGCAGGAGGCGCAGGAGCTGGTCAAGGCCAGGCAGGTGTCCTCCAACATCTGTGAGGCCATCGAGACCTTGTCCGCCTGCCTCCCTGTCCTCCGTACGCACGCCAAGCTTCTTACGCAGATACAGGAAAAGAGGTCTAAATAATATACATATCTTAATAATAAAATAATACTAAAATCCATAATAAATATAATAAAAGCTATATATTCTAATCGTATAATAAAATCTATATATACCGTATTTTTTATGTTCAGTATGCTAAAACTCGCGACTAATTTCCTAACAATCCTCTCGTATCAATATAAGATTTTCTAGCTATTTTCATGTGTCACTATGGCACGGCACTGTTTTGTTGTTACGTGTGACATTAAAGTCTCTTAATTCCATGGCGTTATGACATCCCTCTCACATCAATGTACGGTATATTATTTGGATGTTTATGATTGAGTTAATTAGTTTTATTAAATAATCAGGTATTACGCGACTATGAAGCCTCCGGAGCAGCCGAAGCACCCTTCCGTGCGTCTTATTATATTACCTACTATAACATCTGGTTTATGTGTTATATTGCCTGCTAATGCACCAGTTTATTTACAATCAAATTTATTTATAATTAAGATAGCATATATATGGTTTGATCAAAAAAATTCAGGTATTACGCGGTTCCAGAGACTCCGGAGCATCTAGAGCCAACGTTCCTGCCGCCCGCCTGCTTCATTATTCAATTAATTATTTTTTCTTTATTAATCATTTATTTAAACTAATAACCAGCCCTTACTCGGCGCTGGGAATGCTGAAGACGATGGAGCACACGTTCCTGTCGAGTCCGCTTTATAATATAACCCATTACTCCATCATGTTTTAATTAAACTATTTCTCAAGGTCCCTGGTTTATGTATTAATAATCAGGCTTATATACAATTATTTTCACAAATACTCAGATATACGCGGCGCTGAAGACGCTGGAACACTCGCTCCTATCGCGTCCGCTTTACAATATTACCCCGTCATGTTCAAATTTGATTATTCGTTAAGGTTCCTGTTTTATATATCAATAATCAGGCTTATTTACAATTATTTTCATAAATACTGGCTGAAGACGCTTAAGCACACGTTCCTGTCGCGGCCGCTTTACAATATTACCCATTACTCCATCATGTTTAAATTTAATTATTTCTTAAGTTCCCTGTTTTATATATTAATAATCATGCTTATTTACAATTATTTTACAAATACTCAGATACTACCTATGTGACGCTGAAGACGCTAGAGACACGTTCCTGTCGCGTCCGCTTTACAATATTACCGGGTCATGTGTAAATTTAATTATTTCTTAAGGTCCCTGGTTTTTATATTAATAATCATGTTTATTTACAATTATTTTTGTAAATACTCAGGTATTACGCTGCGCTGAAGACACTAGAGCAGCTGGAGCACACGTACCTCCCACGCGTGGCACGCTTCAAGTTCACGGAGGAGATGCGGGAGAGCATCCCTAAGATGCGCGGGGACATTAAACACGCGTCCATGTGCGAGATAAAGGACTTCCTCGAGGAGGTCAGGAGGTGAGACATGATGTCTGCAAATAAGGAGGAAATTACTAAATTTATCCATGAACAGGTCAGAAGGTGAGCCAAAATATCAGGAAATAGGGAGAAATTACTAAATTTAACCTCGAGGAGGTCAGGAGGTGAGTGATAATAACTGGAAATAGGGAGAAATTTACAAAATTTCAGGAAATGAGGACAAATTCACAAAATTTTTAGCAAATCAGGACAAATTTACGAAATTTCAGGAAATGGGGACAAATTTACTAAATTTCAGGAAATGAGGACAAGTTCACAAAATTTCAGCAAATCAGGACAAATTTACAAAATTTCAGGAAATGGGGACAAATTTACTAAATTTCAGGAAATGAGGACAAGTTCACAAAATTTCAGCAAATCAGGACAAATTTACGAAATTTCAGCAAATCTGGACAAATGTATAAAATTTCAGCAAATCTGGACAAATGTATAAAATTTCAGCAAATCTGGACAAATTTACGAAATTTCAGTAAATCGGGACAAGTTTACAAAAATCAGGACAAATTTTCACTTATAACAATGAATGTGTCATGCTGTCGAAATAAAAATACAAGTTTTTTTCAGTGCACGAGTTGAGAGCGGAGGTAAGTCAAGTGTTGAGAGATTATCGGCAACTTGATTATACAGGGTGTCCCAAAAAAAACGATACCCAACTTTGAATGGCTGTAACTCGAAAAGTAATAGAGTTAAAAAATTTTGGAAGATCAGGATTTGTTTCCTATGTTTTTCTGCATCTCTTAATATTTTTTAATTCAGTAATTCATTTCAGGATATCACCAGTCACTTGTATTAATATAAAAATATTTTTTAATTCAGTAATTCATTTCAGGATGTCGCCACGTATCGGGCAAGTGGCGATGAAGCAGTTCACCGTGTACCGCTGTGGCATGGAGGATGCCACATCCGCCACATTTGCCACTCACAGTTCTCAGCCACACTCAGGTTTCTGGCAAACAATATAACATAATTTAAAAAGCCTTTCCGTAATATAATGACAATTGGTGCAAAAATAATTTTTATAATAAGTATTTACTAAGATTAGCAATACTTTAATATTGAATGTTACAATATCGTTTACATTAACTGATACAATACATTGTTATTGTCTGACAGTGTTATTGATATTGACTGTTATAATTAGAATAGAATTTATTATTTATGTTGACTGATACAATACATTGCTATTATCTGACAGTGTTATTGGTATTGACTGTTACAATATTATTTATGTTGACTGATACAATACATTGTTATTATCTGATAGTGTTATTGATATTGACTGTTACAATATTATTTATGTAGTCTGATACAATACATTGTTATTATCTGACAGTGTTATTGATATTGACTTACAATATTATTTATGTAGTCTGATACAATACATTGTTATTATCTGATAGTGTTATTGAT